AGCAGCTCCTTTAGAACACACCTGCCGGTGGCATTGCTTAAGTTTATTTCATATTTTGAATTGGACAGTTTACTCAACTTTAAACAATAGCGTCCATGTTTCGACAGAAATCATCATTTGCTTATGCTAAATGGTTCCACACTGTAGAAATATTTATGAAAAAAATCTTGCAAGACCTGATTGGCAGGGTCAGACATGCCGTAGCTGTCATGCTAGTCTGCACAGATAACATTATTAGCCCCAGGAAGGACATCGACAGGAAGTCTAGGAACAAAATTCAAGGCTTCACATTTTGACTGCGACAAGCATAAGTCGTGATTCATGAGCATGGTTTCGGTACTGCATATTCATGGCTGTCCTTCTACACCCAGCATTGTTCCCACAATGTTATAACTCTGAATGTATAAGGCGATTACCCTGGTCGCATCAGTTAATCAATCTGCATTTCAGTGACTCCTGACGACTATCCACCTGCTGATTGCGACTCACAGCATCCAGCCTAAAGAGAACTTTCGAGGTGCGCGTTTGGCCTGTTAAGAGAGAACGCGTGCAAGTGTCGCATCATCGATTATCACAAGCAACACACTGGCACCGTCTACTCGTGATTTAAATCAGTGTTGTGATCACTGCCTGTTGTGTACCAACGCTGACCCAGGTTGGCACGTGGGATGTAATTATATCACTGCAAATCACAACACGTCCATTGTACTCCAGTGACGTTTTTTAAAACACCAAGTCGATGTTGCTTAAAATACCTAACACTGAGGCGAACAAATTGACTATTTAAAAATCAAGCAGATGCAAAATAAAGAAACATTAGCATTCACCACATCTGGCGCTATTCTGTGGCAGGAACTTGCATTTATAATTTAGCCTTTGCTTTCCCGAAGCATTACAAAGTACTTAGTGGTAGTTCCGCTGGAGCGCGAAATTGGGCATCAGCTCTGCAGTTGTTGCTACAGCGACAACAGCCGCTGACGAGGAATGCACCAGGAGTTGGCAATGCACACGGCCACCGTTGTAACCTGCTATATAAGTCAGCCCTGTGTTTTCACTTCCTCCGACGGGGCACCTGCCCGAAAGGAGAAGCTTGCAAGTTCGCTCATGGAATCTTCGAGTTGAGATTGCCGCAGAACCATCCCAAGTACCGCACAAGACTGTGTGTGCATTACACACTCACTGGAGCCTGTCCAGTTGGAGAAGGATGCTTTTTCGTTCACCGCCATAATCGCCCCTCTACCCCGGAGTCTCCCGACTACGCCAGTCTCAACTGCTGCGTTTAGACTTCTGTCCTTGCACGTCCAAATGCATTTGTTGCCTTTTTTTTTATTGTATGTTCAATCACTGCGAATAAATTTTGACGTTTCTTGAAAGAGACTTGGCAATTGGACATGTGCAAC